TGTGTATATATATATAATTAAGGAGCAACAGGAATATTCAGTTGCTGCCATTTCTTTAACGTATACAGGGAGCTCTGTGGTTTACTGCTAAGGGCCTTTGCTGCCAACTCAAAAGCTAGTCTAGGAAATCTACTTTTGAAAAGTCCCAACCTTAGAAACCTTATGTAAAGAAGAACAAAGAACAACAAAAACCCCACAGAGCAGAGATTTTGAAGCTCCATCTCACACACTTTGGGTATGTGGCCAGAAGGGACCAGTCCTTGGAGAAGGACTTAGTGCTTGGATGGGTGGAGGAACAGCACAGGAGATGAAGACCCTGGTTGTGATGGATTGACCATGATAACTGGGGCAATGGGACTGGGTGTGTCACTGAGACTGGCTCAGGATAGGGCAGAATTCAGAGCTGTTGTACAAAGCATCACCCTGAGTTGCAGGCAAGTCGATGACACAAAACAACCTAGAGCTTTTCACCAATGAATTTAACTTGGGGGGAGATAGGGAGACAAGGAGCAAGAAAATGAGTGAAAGCTCCAGAAAGAATAAAGACCAATCTGGATGGAATCCAGTCACCTCAGAATCATTATCAGGAACATCTTACTACACTAGGCCAGTCAGGCTCTTGCAAACTATTCCAAGGAGTCCAGAAGTGCTAATAAAAACCCAAGATTCATCAAAGTATAACCTCACAGTGCTTTATGTATAAAACTAAGGTAAGTGGTTTCCTCTGGTCTATCTCCAGAGCAGGGATCCTTGCCTGGGAGCTCCCTTAATAAAGCTGCTTTAAGCTTTCAAAAAAAAAAAAAAAGTAAATTCCAAGCTGCTCCATGGAGAAAAGAATTTTTTAAGTTCCATCTCATATACTTTGGGCATATTGCAAAGAGGAACCAGTCCTGAACCAGTCCATCATTGGAAATCTGGAGGGACAGTACAAGAGAGGAACACTCCAGACAAGTTGGATTGACACAGTAACTGGGATAATGAGGGTAGGTGTGTCTGAGGCAAGGAGATAAATTCAGGATAAAGCAGAGTTCAGAGCTAATGTGCACAAGGTCATTATGAATCGGAGTTAATCGCACATAGTAACTGACTTGAGTGGAACATTTTATCTAGGTGATTATAATTTTATAATCACCAGTGTAACAAGTGGTTGTTTATTGGAGTTATGTGTCCAACCCACTTGGATGGTGACAAAGTTTGGACCTTTGAGGCTCCTGAGGCACCTTTTACTTCTGAAAAATCAGCCATTGAAAACTTGATGGAGCACAGTTCTACTTACACATGCAAGACATAATTAGTTTTGATAACAGGTGATGGGTATGAATAATGAAACCAAGAGGGCGGTGACGGTGGAGGGATTTATAGAGATACCTGTTACAAATTTTTTGAAGTTATTAAGGGACTAAAGTAGTTTATTGTGCAGATTATCTAGCATTGCTTACAATGGTGTTAAAACGTATCAACCAGAATATGCCTTATCAATTCAGTAGCAGGAAGAAATTTAGAAACAGTGCAAATTTAAATGAAAAAATATCCATGAAGTACATGTATCCCTTTGGTACAGCAATATTTTTTTTTGCTTTGAGCAACACTAATATTAAGCCTGCTTGACATATGCTACTCTTGTTAAATTTTCATAACCCTTGATTTGGATGTTTACAGATGAAGCAGCACAAGATAAAACCTAGCTTAAGATTCAGTAGCTAAATATTGGAAGTAAGCTTTGGAAAACCTCATCCCATACTTCTCATCAACTTTTCCCATCAACCTAGGTTCAACTTGATGTCGTTAGGTACTATATGTAGAGTACAACTCATAGCTACTCTATCAACAGCAGATCTGAACCCTGTTCTATCTTGTGCCGTGTCCACACTTCTTGACACACTAGAGACCATTGCTGCAGTAACCATGCCAATCCAACTGCTTGAGGGTCTTCCTCTCCTTCCCCAACCACCTTTCCAAGCATCATGTTTCTCTCAAAGAGCCCCTCCTAGCAACATGCATGACGTATGTGAGGCAAAGCCTCATCATCCTTGCCTCCAAAAAAGGACTCAGGCTGTTCCCTCTCTCCAAGACATATTTGTCCTTTTGGCAGTCCATGGGATGTTCAGTACTCTTCTCCAACACCACCACTCAAAGACATCAAGTTTTGGTCATCTTTATTCATTGTTCAGCTCTCAGACGCATAGCAACTCTGGATTTGAATTTAATAGTTCTTGGAACAAATAAATCATTCCTACAAAACTGAATCTAGTTATTCCTTTTTAAAAGTTATTCCAAAGTGTTTAAATTGAGTGGTTTAACCTCACAGTTGGGTTTTTGTGAATAAAGTGACCCCTAGGCAGCTTTACCACAGATAAATCAATAAGCCTTCATGAATGAAGAGTTTTAAGAGGTGGACAGAGCGATATGGGGTCCAGGGACCGCAGAAAGACACCGGAACCAAGAGTCTTCGGCTCCTGGCGGGGAGCGGGCCGGAACCAAGAGTCCTTGGCGTCTGATTGGGGGGCCCGGAACCAAGAGTCCTCGGCTCCTTGGGGGGCCGGAACCCCAAGAGTCTTCAGGCCCTCGGGCACGTGGCAGTGGCCAGAGTTCCCAGGCGGTGGCCAGTGGTTGCCTCTGAGACGCTGGCAGTGTCCTGGAAGAGGCCATGCCTCCTTGGCTGTCAGAGTTTTATTCGAGGAGAAAGACTCTGTATTGTTCGTCGTCCGAGGTAAGTGCAGTCTTGGCATTCCATGCTGGTAGCCCTGGGGGGTGCGGCCAGGGGCGGATGCTTTACCTTTGCTTGCACCCCCGGCCCTCTTTACAGCCAGTTATCCCCTATGAGCAGTGCACCAAGTGATGTGGACAATTAGCTTACAAAACAAAGGGCCCTGTCCCCCCCGCCCCACACACACACTATCTGCTAAACGTTGCTAAGGAAGAGGAAGCTGTCTGGGTCTGGGTGGGATCCCAGGAGATGTAAAGTTGGTAAGTGGCTGTTTCCTGTTTTGGGAAAAGGGTGAATTTAGTCCTCCCTGATTTCCACCAAAGGGCGGGGCCCCTGTTAGAGCCGGCTCCTCCTCCTAAAGAAGTAAAACTAAACAACAAAATCCAAACCAGTTACCTCCAGTTGGCTGGGACTCATGATGAGCCTATCTCACAAGTCTCCAAGGCTGTAAACCATTAGATGCAGGCTTCATGCCTTTCCTTCATGAGCTGGTGAGGTCAAACTAGCTGGTACAGTTGGTACACAGTAACTTTATACTGCTGCACCACCAGGTCTCCTCTTCCTCCCATGGTTGTTGTTAGGTGTTCTCAAGTTTGTTTCTACTCATAATGACCCTACGCACAACAGAAGAAACACTGCCAGGTCCTGTGTCAACTTCATTATTGTTGTATCATTGCCCGTTGTAACCGGCCAACCTTTGATATGATGGTTTAGGTCTCAGTTCACTTCTGTGATGCCTAATGCCTCACGCTGCTGTGGGTGTCTCATGGTGCTGTGAGTCAATCATTTAATTGAGAGTCTTTTTCTTTCTTTCTTCCCCCACTCACCCTCTATCAAGCATGATGTCCTTCTCCAGGCAGGGACTAGTTCTTTCTGATCATGCCCAAGTATGTGAGGCAAGACCTTGCTTCCAAGGTGCATTCTGGTTGCACATCCTCTAAGACAGGTTGGCTTGGTTTTCTGGCGGTCTATGCAATGTAAAATTCTTTGCCAACACCGTAACTTAAAGGCATCAATAATTCTTCAGTGTTCCTTATTCATTGTCCAATTTTCCGTTGCTTATAAGACTTTTTAAAATATAATATGTGGCGAGATGCACTCAAAGCGGGATCCTAGCTCTTCAGCACGTTAAAGAGATCCTTGGCAGCAGATTTGCCCAATGCAGTGCATCATTTGCTCCTTGACTGCTGCTTCCATTGGTAAATCCATGACAATTTCAGTCTTTACTCCTTTTGTCATGATTTGCTTCTTAGTCTAGTGAGGGTTATTTTTTTGGGGGGGGTAGGTGGGCTTTTTTTTTTATGTTGCACTATAATTCTTAGTAAGAAAGAACGACATACAGTCTTTTGATCTTCATCAGTAAGTGCTTCAAGTTTTGTTCCTTTTCAGTAAGCAGGGTTGTGTCATCTGTTTATCACAGGCAGCTAAATGAGTCTTCTCCAACACTGATGCCATGTTCTTCATATACTCCAGTTTTTCAGATTATTTTCTCAGCACGCACATTAAGTGTGTCTGATGATAGGATTCAACCCTGGCACGATTTTCCTAATTTTAATCCATATAGTATCTTTTCTTTGAACAGCTGTTTCTGGGTTTTTGTGTTCCACCTGAGCCCAACTAAGTACTTTGGAATGCCTATTTTCTGCAGCAATACCTATACTTTATTATTATCCACATAGATTAAGCCTTTGTCTAAAACAGAAGTAAACATCTCTCTCACTTCCCCTGTGTCAATAAAACATAGGTGAACAGTTACTCCTTTGAGTTGTTAGGTGCCTTGGAGTCGAGTACAACTCATAATGACCCTGTGAACAACAGACTGAACCCTGTCCTATCCTCATTATCTTTGACACTCTTGAGCGCAAGGCTGCAGTCACTGTGTCATCCATCTCACTCAGAATCTTCCTCTCTTTTACTTTAAGCTGGAGACCTTAGAGGATAGGGATGGTGAGACTTTGTCTCACATACTTTGTACATCTTACTAGGACAGGCCAGTCCTTGGAAAAAGTCATCGTGCTGAGAAAGGTAGAGGGTCTGAGAAAGGTAGAGGGTCTGAGAAAGAGAGGAAGACCCTCAGTGAGATGGGCTGACACGGAGGCTGTAACAGTGTTCTTGAGCGTGGTGGAGATCCTGACGATGGTGCAGATAGGACAAGGTGCTGATCTCTTGTTCATAGGATTGTTGACTCAATGGCACATCATCACAACAAAACATCTTTCTGATCCATTCTACTTGCAGTCAGGATCTATCTGACATCCCTGTTCTGTATGTCTTCTTTTTATTTTATTTTATACTGATTCATTTGCATAGTTTGAATGCATTGTTTTTCACACAAGATCCTTCCCATTTCCTTCGCCCCATATGTCTTCTTTAGAATCCAGTTTGAGCTTCTAGCAGTTAGTTCCTTGTTAATATACTTCCCTAGCTTTTAAAAGAATTTTTAGCAAGGTTTTATTTGTGTATGATAGTAACTGTTCTATATTGTCTACATTTTGTTGGATCACATTTCTTTGAGATGGACACAACTATGGATTTCATCTAGTTGATGGATCAGGTAGGTGCCTTTCAAATTTGTTGGTGTAGGTAAATCTAAGACTAAGTTAGAGTGACCCTGCACATCAGTTTATTGTATGAGCCCCATTCACCTGTATATTGCCATGATAAACCTTGAGCTGTAAGTAAGCTAAGTGAATTTTCTTTCCTGCTAAAACTGCACCTAAAAAAAACCAATAAAAATTGTTTTTAATAAAAAAATGTTGGCTTGAAGTTTAAAAAAGTTTGAATTGCTACATCTTTATTGAATAAAGGATGAGAAATAGGAATGACTTAAAGATTCATTGTGAACTGAATTTCTAATTATTTTTGCTATAATTTAATTTTACAGAATTTAGGATTGCAGTTCAGCATGTGGTACTGGAAAGATGACACTAAAACTCTTGAATTCAGAAGGTAAATGTTAACAAAACTATCATAGTTTTAATAAGAATCATAAGTGCTTGGGGTAAAAAATAACTCAAACAATACTGAAGACTATTAAGAATAAAAAGTCACTATCCTCTGTGTTGAAAAAATATAATTAAAAACCAAAATCAACTCCCAAGTCAGGAAATTTCTCCACAAAAATAGAAGAGAAAGAAAATGAGGTTAGGTGTGTTGGAGTTAGTGAAACTGGCTCAGGATAGGGCAGGATTCAGAGATATTATAATAGAGTTGCTATGAGTCGTGGGTGACCCAATGGCATATAACAGCAAAAACAAGCATTAAGCCAGAATGTGATATATCACAGGCAATCCAGTAAAGAAAATGCAAATACAGAAATCCCACTCCCTCAAACCTCTTTACACACACACAAACACAATCATACTGTTTATGTAGCTAAGTAGATTACAATTAACCATACATTATTTTTTTCAAAATAAAATTCTGATTTTATAACATCTTTGGGTTAGAATAGCCAAAGTTATGCTGATACCCTTCCAAGAAACTAGGAGGGATGGTCAGTATCAGATAAAAGAGTGTAGCTTACTTGTGCTTGTCTACAAATCTGAAGTGAACAGTTATACAGTTTTGTGATTTTAAAAAGGGTATCAGAGATTTGGCTTCTTATATGTGGCCAGCATCTCTCTCTCCCAAGCCCACAGTACCTCCTCTACAATCTCAGCTGGTTTATAATGTACAGAGCCTGCTAGGTAAGGAGTGCCCAGTAAGTACAGGTAAAAACCATATGAAACCGTTCACTACAGATTAGTAAGTAAACACAAATGAACCTTTGCTTACTGGGTAATCTTCCCTGGCTATTCTCTTCCTTGGTGATTACATTTCAAAATAGAGAACTCCCAGGTCCTTGGAACATCTTTGGTTTACATTCTTTTCAAGGAGATTGAAAAAGAACTTAGAGATAGTGCTAATTTTCAAAAGTAAATGCTTGGGGGGAAAAAGACAAGGACAAGGGTGGTTGAAGTAGAAATGTCTTTTCATATTTATTTTGTATTTGCACTATAAAGAACTCTGCAGGCCTAGGGTATTAAGGATTTAACTGCTAACTGGAAGGTCAGCAGTTTGAATACACCAGCTATTCTGAAAGAGAAAGATGAACAGTCTCCTCTGGTCAAGATTTGCAACCTTGAAAACCTAACAGAAGATCATTATGAGTTCAAGTAGACTTGATGGTAGTAGAGTCAGTTTGAACAATCTTTCAGATATCACTTTCTATTGACTTTTATCAATTTTTCCTAAGCGCTTTAGAGTTTACTGATCCTTTAAAAACAGCTGCATAACCAGATTTCCCAGATGAAAAAAACTGAGATTTGGGAATTTATAAACAATTTGAGTGAACCTAAGTGACTTGGTCAAATCACATAGCTGGAAGTGGTTACATGAAGGTTAAGCCAGTTTGTTTGACAGAGTCCATGTTGTTAAAATACTGTATAAAACCTGTCTTCTCAGGCTGTAGACTCATGAGCTTAAATTAAAGGGACCACATTAAACTTGCTAAGGAATCCAGGTGGCACAGGGGGCTAATTGTTGGGCTGTAATCAGGATGGTCAGTATTTGAACCCAGCACAAAGATGAGGTACCTCTGCTTCTGTAATAATTTATATTCTTGGAAAACTTCAGGAGGCATTATTTTTCTGTAGTGTCACCATGAGTCAGAATAGACTTGTTGGCAATGTGTTTTGTTTTTTTGGGGTTATTACAGCAGCTGCAATAAAGGGCAAATTTTATGAGGTAAGATTTCTTCCCATTACCGTTGAGTTGACTTCCTGATATTGACCCCATAGAGCAGAGCAGAACAGTCCTCACTGGGTTTCCAAGGCTGTAAACTTGTCAGGATCCAATTGTCACATATTTCTTCTGCATATGACTGATGGGTATCAGTTCTTTCTTGGTCTGCCTTTTACATGATCAAGCTTTCAGACATATGAAGCAAAGGAAAATGCTGTCTTGAGCCAGGTGCCACTTAGTCTTCAAAGTGACATCCTTGCTTGTTCGTTCTTTAAAGAAACCCTTGACAGTGGTGTTGACTAATGCAATGCATATTTTGATTTCCTGATGGCTACTTCAGTGGGTATTGATTATGGATTCAAATAAAATTAAATCTTTGACAACTCCAATCTTAGTTCATCAGGTATCCCACAAAAGCAGTATTCTACATGGGAATCCCAGAACACTTGATCGTTCTAATGCGAAACTTATACTTGGACCAGGAGGCAGTCGTCAGAACAGAGCAAGGGAACACTGCATGGTTCAAAATTGGGAAGGGCGTATGCCAGGGATGCATCCTATCTCCATACCTTTTCAACCTATATGCAGAACAGATTATCCGGGAGGCTGGGCTCTATGAGGAGAAATGTGGGGTCAGGATTGGTGGATGATTTATCAACAATCTGCGTTATGCGGATGACACAACCCTGCTTGCTGAAACTGAGGAGGACCTGAAGCGCCTGCTGCAGAGTGTCAAGGACTGCAGCCTACAATATGGATTGAGGCTCAATGTCAAGAAGACAAAGATTCTCACCACTGGACCAATCGGCAGCATCAGGATGGATGGTGAAGAGATTGAGATTGTACACAGCTTTAGTTTTCTTGGCTCCATAGTCAACAGTCTTGGCACCAGCAGCCAGGAAATGAAAAGGTGCATTGCCATGGGAAAGTCTGCTGTTAGGGACCTCTCCAAAGTGCTGAAGAGCAGTGTCTCTCTGGAGACTAAGGTGCATCTGATACAGGCCGTGGTCTTCGCAATCACCTGTTATGCATCAGAGAGTTGGACAATGACCAAGGAGGATAGAAGGAGAATTGATGCCTTTGAGCTGTGGTGCTGGAGAAGAGTATTGAGAATACCATGGACTGCTAGGAAAACAAATAGATTTGTCCTGGAGAGGGTTAAACCGGGTGGCTCCTTGGAGGCAAGGATTCTGAGGCTCCGTCTAACTTACTTTGGACATGTAGTGAGGAGAGACCGGTCCTTAGAGAGGGACATCATGCTTGGGAGGGTGGAGGGACGGCGCAGGAGAGGAAGGCCCTCTATGAGGTGGATTGATTCAGTGACTGGGATAATTGGGATGGGAGTGTCAGAGACTGCGATTGGCACAGGACAGAGCAGAGTTTAGGGCTGTTGTACATAGGGTCGCTATGAGTTGCAGGCGGCTCGATGGCACGTAACAACAACAACAACTTTAGTTAGTAGAGACTCCGGGCCTTAAAAGCTTTTAAGCAACCATCTAAGGTGCAACTATTTGTTTCTCCTTGTCTGGAACAAAGAAGAGGAAGGGGAAAGACAAGGATAAATATAAACAAATCAGTCCAGAGGACTACTACATCTCTTGAACTTCAACCTCTACTTCCCTAAGACTAGAAGAATTAGCGCCAGGCTGCTTACTGCTCTGAAAGGGATTGCAGTAGGAGGTCCTGAACACAGTAGACAAAAAATGTGGAACACAACTCAAAATAACAAAAATGACCAGGTTTGCTGGCTTAATAGAGACTAGTGGAAGCTGGAACCCCAAAATTCTGGCTTTTGGTAACCTTTTGAGTCCAGAACTAAACTCCTGTGATTCAACTTCCATTCAAACAAAAAAGTGAACAGTAACACCAGGGAAATAGTAACTTCTTAGAACAGTCACTCCTTCAAGATAAAATTAAAAGTGTTGACCTAGAGAGAAAGCTTAGAAGGCAGGAAGAACTAGGATAAAAAGATGAATGGGTTCAAGAATTATAGGGCAGAGGTGGGAAAATTCAAAGAAGAGGAAGACTATCAAACAGATGTACTAACATGGTGACTGAGACAATGAGTTTAGGAGGAGATTGTGGGGATGGTCCAGGATCAGGTAAGATTTGTGTCTGTTGTACAGAGGGCCAACTTTTGAATGAAATTTCATAATACCTAATAACAATATTCTGCCAACTGGCTTTGATGTCCTCAAGGCTCCAGGATACTGGTAACTCATGGTGCTTGGTGTTGGTTAAGAAGTTTATATAGCTTTGCCAGCAGTTGGAACTACTATATACAGAGTACATTTTGAATAGAATCAACAGCTTTTCAGTAGACATTAGAATGAGTTTTTATAATCTAGTAATTTTACTGGAAACCTGGTGGTGAAATGGTTAAGCACTTGGCTGCTATGTGAATGGTTAACACTTCAAAGCCACCAGCCTCTATGTAAAAGAGGAATGTGACTATCTGATTCAGTTCTACTCTGTCCTGTAGAGTGTAGATGAGTCAGAATCAACTTAGTGGCGGTGGGCAGTGATTTCACCTGGTAAAATTTACCTTTATTACCGTAGATTTAAGCTTTCTCTGTCTCATTGCTGTCAAGTCAGAACCAACTCTCTATTGGGTTTCCAAGGCTATAAATTCCACAGGTGGAGACTTCCCATTTTAGCAGGTGTAATACCCTCCCAACCAAAAACACTGCCAAGAAGTTGATTTTTTTAAATTTTATTTTATTATTTTTTTGTGCATGTACCGTCAAGTCAGATCTGACTGGTACAGGAGGAGATTGTCCCTTCTTCTCCAGCAGAGCATCTGGTAGATTTGAACCGTGTATCTCTGGGATTGCAGTGCAGCTTCTAGAAGTTGATTTTGACAAGTAGTGACACTATAGGACAAAGTAGAAATACTCTTTTAGGGGTTATAAAACTTTACAGTTTGAGAGTGCCTCATCTTTGTACTTAGTGTTGGTAGAAATAGAAGGGTACAAGGGGAAGTTGAACTTGAGGCCTTAGCCATCCTTCAAACCTGGAACAAAACTCCCCCCGCAGCTTAACTTTCAGCTAAATGGTACACAAACTTGTAAGATGAACACCACCACCAGAGAGAGACTTATTCCTTAGAACAATGAACCATATAAGGTCAGGAGAACAGCATTTGCCCAAGAATGAAGCCCAGAAGGCAGGAAGGGGTAAGATAGAAGGATTAATGGAAATAAAAACCATGGGGAAGTGGGAAGCTTGTGTGTGATTACATTGTTGGTATTTGATTAATATAAAACAGACTGTGTGTGAATGGTTGAGTGCACAACCAACTTACCTTGTAAACGTTTACTCAAGTCACGATTTTTTTTTAAATAAGGAAGAGTTGAAATTGAGAGTGTTTGGGGAGAACTGATAGAATGTGGTATCTAGATGTGAAGGCAGAGGAAGAAGGAAGTGTCTGGGTTTACTTTCAGTTGTCTGGCTTTGGTGAATGAGTCTTTGGGGTTACCTTCCATTGCACAGAATGAGAGAGGCAAAACCAGTAACGTGTGTTTGAGGTTGCTATGACATGTTCACATGGGTACATCTCTCAGGCTATCAAACAAATGAGGTTGGGACTCAGCTAAGAAGGTGTAATTTTTAATTAGGTTATAAATATTACATTATAGTTAATTCTAGCTAAGTATAAATCCTTTAAAATTTAGCATCATATTAGACTGAAAGTTTTATAAGTTTTAGAGTAATTATTTCAGAACTTTTGATTAATCAATTGCTTACAAAGAAGTAATTTTTTTTCTTATATGTCAGAAGAATCTGCTGAGTAGCTCCTGAGATATCATACTTGGTAGAAAGTGTGAGATAGCCTAGGACTTAGACAAAATAGTCTGTTACAGAGGGAAAACATGTAATGATGTATATGCTGTTTCACTCACACTGTCCTGTTAATTGTTTAAATAATAAACACCTTGATCATGCTTTGAAAGTGTCTGTTCTGTGCACACTTTAAGCAGAGAATGCAGTTACACATTTTAAGGGCCAACACAATCTTCATATTCATCTCAGTCCTCTTTTTTACCCGTTTAATCTGTTTGTAAATGAAGTTAAATGGCAGTTATTGTTACGTGCCATTGAGTCACCTGCAGTTCCTAGCAACCATGTGTACATAGCTCTGAACCCTGCCATGTGCTGAGCCAGTCTCACTGCCTCTAACACACCTACCCATATTACTCCTGTTACTTTGCCAAGCCATCTCTTCTGGGGTTTTCCTCTCCTGCACTGTCCCTCCACCCTTCCAAGCATGATGTCCTTCTCCAGGGGTGAGTCCTTCCTGGTCACGTACCCAAAGGATGTAAGACAGAGGTTCAAAATCTTTGCTTCCAAGGAGAAACTTGGTTTCACCCTCTCTAAGACAGACTAGTTTGTCCACGGTATATGCTGAGTACTCTTCTGCAGTGCCACAAGTCAAAGACATTGGTTCTTCTTCCATGATCTTTGATCATTGTCCAGCTCTCTGATGCATAGCAAGCAATTACGAAGACCGTGGCCTTGATCAGGTACATCTTGGTCCCTAGACTGATATCATTACTCTTTAGCACTTTGGAGACATCCCTGACAGCAGATGTCCCTAGTGCAATTAATCTTTTAATTTTCTGACCGCTGGTACCAAGAGGGTTGATGGGGAGCTGAGCCAGCTAAAATTGTTAACAACCTCAATCTCTCCTCTATCCATCATGGTGTTGCTAACTGACCAAGTGGTGAGAACTTTTATCTTCTTGATGTTGAGCTTCAATTCATATTGAAGACTACAGTCCTTGACCTCAGGAAATTTTACAATTGTTAGAAACTGACACAATAGCACCCAACAACAATTGCAAAATTAATTTGAAAAATACTGCCTTCCCTGCCTCTCCCCCAAAAGAAGACTAACTCCCGAGACTACTTATGCATAGCATCCCATGGAATTCCTTGTTATGAAGTTTTAAGGTCATGGTTTCATGGGCCATCCTGGTTAATTGTTCTAATAACATGATTATTGCTTTTGTTCTATCTAGTTCACATCATAGTGCCTGAGGTATTAAAAGTTTGCCATAGTCATCTAACATGCAACAATTGGTCTCTGTTCACCTAAAGTAACAAAGAAAGGAGAGGAGTGTTAGGAATAGGGGAAGTATATGGATAGTGAGGCTAATTGCTTCTCTGAACAACTGCCTCTTCGAGGAGACCCGAAGAACTGGCTAGTGCTCACCTACCATTACCAAAAATTTTGATTAAAAAATTCTATGGAAGGATCCTGACCAAAGGGGGGAAAATGTAGAACAGCAATTCAAATTGTTATAGATTTTAGAGTCAAAGAGAGCACATAAATCTCTAGAACTATTGCTCTGAGAGAATCTTTAAACCTTAAACCAAAAATATCCTCTGAAGTCATCATAAGACCATTACAAGCATTCACACCCATGATTATTATCGCAGCTTTGTTCACAATAGCAAAGAGTTGGAAACAACATAAGTGCCCATAAACGAATGGATAGAGAAGCTGTGGTATATTCACACAAAGGCGTACTACGCTGTATTGAAAAACAAGGAACTCATGAAATAGTATACAAAATAGGTAACCCTGGAGGACATTATGCTGAGTGAAATATCTCAGTCACAAAAGGACAAATACTGCATAGTGCCACTTATAAAATGGGACTGAAATAAGGGATGGTGGGGGAGACTGAGAAAGATGGGATAAATTATGTATACCGCATTGAAACAGATGAGAGAACTGTTTAAAAGGTATATATGATTAGGTATTATTGTCATGACAGGAGTCCAGAACAAAGGCTGCATAGTGGAGTAGACTTGGGGGGAGGGATTGTATAACAATGAAAGAATTTAGAGAAGAATGAATTGAAGGAGGGGGTGGGCCGGGCGAAAAGTGCAACAATGAATGAATGGAAATCCCAAATCTAAATTTTCATTGAAATTAATAATAATAAAGGACCAATACAAGCATTTTTTGGAAAACATTTTATTGTGAAAGTTACAGAACAAGTTGGCTTTTCATTCAACTGTTTATACCGATTTAACACATCACTGCATTTTAATATGACCCCTCTCACTTCCTCTCTCTCCCATTTTCTCCTTCTAGCCTATCTCTTCCTATTTTTTCTTTTAGATTTTAATGAAAGTTTATAAAGAACTTGGGTTTCCAGTCATTCATTGTTGCACATTTTCCTCCCTGCTCCTTCCCCCCCTCCCAGATCGCTTTTTTCTTTGGGGAAAAACTCTTTCATTATTATACAGACCCCCACCCCCACCCTAGACCACTCTACTATGCTGTTTTTATATTCCTTTTATACAGTTCTCTCCCTCATCTGTTTCAATGCCATGTAGATTATTTATCCCCTCTTTTCTTAGTTTCCCCCCAGCCTCCATGTCAGTCCTGTTTTATAAAAACAATGGCATTGTGCCGTATTAACAAATAGAAAAAAGATAGACCTCAAGCAATTATGCTCTTTTAAGAACTATATGCAAGACCCATTTGACAACAGTAGCTCAGAGAATTAGGAACCTTATGGGGCAGTGAGTTTCTTTTGATGAACTAGAGGAACAACTGAGTTTACAACTTGAAGAATATAATCTGTATTACTAAATTACAGAAACTGTTGATAGTATGTTTTGTTCTGTATATTTTTAAGAACAATAAAATAAGTTTAGTGGCGGAAGTAACTCTTTTGTGTTTGAGCTGCATTGTATTTTAGCAACTTAAAGCCACAGACCTCAGAGCGAAAGTTAGGATTACCCTGGGAGTCCAGCTGTTAGGGACAATACTGTTATTACCATTTTTAGTTACCTTGGGGTCATGGCAACAGTTCATGGCAACCTGATGTATGCAGAGCAGAGCTGCTCCACTGAGTTCAAAACTGTGACCTTTTGGACCAAATGGCCAGGGCACTCTTCCAAGGGACCCCTTTATGAGTTCAGATCACCAACCTTTTGACTAGTAGAGGAGTATTTAACCTTGATTCCGCCAGGACTGTAAGGACTAAGAACTGTAATATAGGAAAGTGAAAGTTTTCATATTTTGTTGTTTTTACTGTAGAATCAGAGCTGATCCATAGCTGACCTTCCAGAAGGTTTTCAGAGTCACTTAATTGCATGAGAGGAGATCACCCATCCTTCTCCCAAGGAGCAGATAGTGGATTTGAACTGTGTGACTTTGGGATTGCAGTGCAGTTTTTGTGCCACTAGGCCATCAGACCTCTATTTTAGGACAGCATTGTGTTTGGATTTAATGGAGAGATAAGAGACTGATTTATTTTCTAAAATCTGAGCATATCTTGTCACAAATAAAAATGTACATTTGAAGTCAGAGCGAGATTGTGAGCTGGAACATGCTGTTTACTCCAAAGAAGATTCTCAGAGTCGAGGCCGAGGTGGTGGAGAGCAGCCAGAGGGAGTGAGACGCCTCAGAGGCAGGTCTGTTTAGTCACTGCTGTTTAACTTCATTTAGTGTCTTGCTCAAGAAACTATTCCTGAGCATACATCAGGTTTGAGCCACTTCAGCAAGCATTGGTTGAGAACTTTAAATACCTGACCCTCAGTTAGTTGCTGGGGTCCTAGAGCTAAAATTGTCCTCAAGAGGGATGCAGTACAGTGCAGGCTCCAAAGCAAGAGAATGCCTTTGGTGCACTTTTATTCTTATACATCTTCTATGGATTTAATCAGACTTATATACAAATTTCTTACGTGTTTTGGTTCTAATGTACATAGTGTTGTGTTTTAAATGTCAATTGCAATTCTTGCTGGTATGGGGAAATCAGTCGGCCTGTGCACAAAGTAACACTTCAACCTTTCACCTTGCTATAATCACTTATTCGGAGTTTCAAATATTTGACATTTTTTATCTATATAATCATTATCTGTAAAAAAACCCCCCAATAATAATTGTTCATTCCTTCCAAGTCTGCATACTTTATAATTCCTTTCTGTATCTAATTACATTCTGAATTGTTGCCTTTGCATTCCTAAGATTATGTTGAGGATTTTTGCACTCTTTTATTTCTTTTACCACTTCCCTGTTAGTATTTTATTTAGTACACTTTCTCCCCTGAATGCTCAATTGATATAGAACAAAGATAGGAGAAGCACCAGAAAGAATGAAAATCTAAGATACCATCCACTGGTGCCAGTGGTTAAGGTGGGGTTTGGGAAGTGGTAGGATATAAGAAAAACACTGCCATGAGGTGGTATGTTTCTCAGAGCTAATGTTTTCTGTACTCTGAATATTTCTTGAAGGTGTTGCTAAAAACTCCAGGAAGAGGGTGCTATTTGTATTAATTCTTTGGGGAGATATTACTTTAAAATAACTTCTTTGTGGGGTAGCGTAAATCCCAGAAATCTTTAAAGGAAGTTATTTCAAAATGGTTGCTCTGAAAATAAGATAAGAAAAAGGCTATCTATCTTTTTTTTTCTCTTTCTCTCTCTTTTTATTGGGAAAAACATATTGGGGGTACAAGGAGGTGAGGGTTGAGGGCAGAAGGGTGAGGATGGGCCAGGATGCAGCTGCAGAGCTGCACAGTTTGGTCGGTGGAGGGAGCAGGTGAAGGAAATGATGAGGGTCCAGAGGGGACCAGATACTACAGAGGAATGACAAGCATTTTCCAATAGTAATTAAACCAACTGTCTAATTGATTTGGGAATTGGATGCCGATTCTCTGGCTTCTTCATGCTGAACAGGGGCGTAG